TGTGCTAAATGGCATGACAACGTTAAGGACATTCTAATCATTTACTTCACTAAATCAATTATTACGTTTTAAAGTTAACGATTTCCTTTCAGTCTACAATTTAGTTAACAGTCAATATCAATATCACAATATCATAAATGTAAAAAAAATAAAGAAAAACAAGAATGAGCAAACTTCTTCTTCTCATGATCTTTAGGAAATTTGGATGATGCAACTTCCTGTTCTGAAGTTCTGAAATATTCCAATATATTTGTCCTTGCGTGTAATTTGACAGATAGATAGACAGAAGGTAAAGAACATAAAGCACCATGAAGATCGTGACTACTGCGGGAATCTCAGTTCCTCCACGAATGTCTCCAGTCATGGAGAAAGACCTAGAAGAAGACAGCGAGGAAGACGTTCGTCCTTCTCCTGTCCCGATAACACACTTTAACGTCAACAACAGCAACAACAATGAAGAGTACGCACACACACACACACACAAACACACACACATTTCATATTTTAATCATATTAATCCAGTCGTGTGATCAGGTGTGTTTTCATTCACCTCTTTTAGGCAAGAGAAGAAGAAGAAAGTGAAAAAGGAGAAAAAAGAGTGAGTATCTTCTAGATAAATCCGGTGTAGCCGGTGTGTTACTTCTCAAATCTTTTGGTGTTTTCACTAGAAAAAAAGAAAAGAAAGAGAAGAAAAAAAGGAAGGAGCAGAAGGAGCAGGAGAATGAGAAAGAAAAAGAGAAAGAGAAGGAAAAAGAAAAAGAGAAGGACAAGGAAAAAGAAAAAGAGAAGGAGAAAAAAGAAGGGTAAGTGGTCAGCAATGTAAATTCCCTCCAGTGTTTTATTATTTGATTTCTGATCTATCAGCAGCAATCAGTCGCTCTTGTTCACGTCCTCATCAGTGTTTCTCGCTCATGTCCTCCTTCAAGGCCGAAGGAGGTGTTTGTGATTAACCCGGCCAGTAACCTGTATTACCAGTGGCTCCTTCTCATCACTTTGCCCGTCATGTACAACTGGACCATGATCATTGCGAGGTAAGGCTCAGGTAAGATGTTTAATCAGCTTGATTATCAAGAAGAGGAATTAAAGCTGCTTCTACAAAATCAGCGTCGGGTGCATGAGCAGCGTGCAGATGAGCGATGAAAGCGGTGGACGTCTGCTCACGCTCTGAAGCCATCGTTTGGTTGGTTGTTTATCGTTTAAAATTAAAAATTTATCTTTAAATTTGATTTCAAATTCTCTCATCGTACAGTAACTTGAACATTTTACATAGCAAATAAAGTTTGGTACATAAAGTTTAAATGCATCTATTAGTAGTTTCTTTGTGTTTTTCCACAAAAAAAATTGAAATAATACTAGCAAAGCTTACGATAATTATTCCAGGATCAAAACATTTAATAAATAAATAAACTGCATAAATGAATCTTTGAAGGTGAAAATATCTTGAACATTGTTACACTGATTTAGTATTTCATCTAATAAGATTGCAATAAACCAGATATATGATTATTAAACCTACTTCTAGGCATTTTACTCATTTCACGCCTGTTCTATTGGCAGACTTTTTTATTTCCTTTTTTTATTTTAAGCATTTATTTCTAAGTTTACAAAATTATCTGGCGAATATCTACAAAAGTTACTAAATAAAAAAAAAAGTTACAAAATTATCTGGCAATAGAATAAGAAAAATTGCGATAATCCATCTTTCTTTTATCCAGAGCCTGCTTTGAAGAACTGCAGCATGAATATCTGATCACGTGGTTCTTCCTCGACTACATCTGTGATTTCCTTTATCTGGCTGATATGGCCTTCAGAACAAGGACTGGTGAGAACTTGTGTTTAAGCCCAATAACTTTAGTAAAGAATTCATTTCTCTGTAAACTGATGCTCCTCTGCGCTGCTGCATTTGTGTTTTTCCATACAGGCTACCTCGAGCAGGGTTTGCTTGTCAAGGATAAGAAACTCCTCATCAAGCACTACACGGACAGCCCTCAGTTCCGGCTCGATGTCATCTCGATGATACCCACTGACGTGCTGTACTTCATCCTGGGACTGGACTACCCTGAGATCCGCATCAACAAGCTGCTACGCATCAACCGCATGTTTGAGTTCTTTGACCTTTCACAGACCATGACCAACTATCCTAACATATTCCGCATCTGTACTTTGGTCATGTATATCATCATTATCATTCACTGGAATGCATGCCTCTACTTCTCCTTCTCCAAATCTATTGGTTTCGGTTCAGATCCCTGGGTCTACCCGGCGCTCACTGAGCCTGAGTTTGGGGACTTGTTGAGGAAGTACTCTTTCAGCCTCTACTGGTCCACACTGACTCTCACCACCATCGGGGAAACACCCTCTCCTGAGCTGGACTCTGAGTTCTTCTTCCATGTCGTAGACTTCTTGGTTGGTGTCCTGATCTTTGCCACCATTGTTGGGAATATCGCCACAATGATCTCCAACATGAACGCGGCCCAAGCCCAGTTTCAGGCGCGTATCGACAGCATCAAGCAATACATGCAAGTGCGGCACGTCAGCAAGGACCTGGAAAAGCGAGTCATCAAGTGGTTCGACTATCTGTGGACCAATAAGAAGGCGCAAGATGAAAGGGAGGTACTCAGGTACCTCCCGGACAAGCTGCGAGCAGAGATTGGTATGAACGTTCACCTGGATACGTTGAAGAAGGTGAGGATCTTCGCAGACTGTGAAGCGGGACTGCTAGTTGAGCTCATTCTTAAATTGCAGCCTCAGGTTTTCAGCCCTGGGGATTACATCTGCCGCAAGGGCGACATCGGCCGGGAGATGTACATCATCAAGGAGGGAAAACTGGCCGTGGTAGCTGATGATGGTGTCACACAGTTTTGTGTTCTGGGTGATGGAAGTTACTTTGGTGAGATTAGCATCCTGAACATTAAAGGCAGCAAAGCAGGGAACCGCAGGACAGCTAACATCCGCAGCATCGGATACTCTGACCTCTTCTGCTTGTCTAAGGATGATTTAATGGAAGCTCTGACTGAGTACCCTGATGCCAAAAGCATGCTGGAGGAAAAGGGGAGGCAGATCCTCATGAAAGATGGCCTGATTGAAACGGACCCGGCCAAACTGAAGCCAGACCAGAAGGACATTGAGGACAGAGTGAACCGCATTTACAGCACCATGGAGCTGATGCAGGCCAAACTGAAGAAACTGCTAGCAGATTATGAGAAAACTGAGAAAAATCTGAAAGAGCGCATCGCTCAGATAGAACGCTATGCTGGGGAGGAGGTAGAAGAAGAGGATGAGGATGAAGACAAGGGGCAGAAGGAAGTGAAAGAAGAGGCTGCACCAGAGCAAGTCAAGGAGGAGAAGAAAGAGGAGGACAAGTAGGAGGTCTGAAGAGTTGTGGTCTTCATTATCATTATGGAACCAAAATGCATCCCTGTCAGAAAGAGTTCCAAGTAGAAGCCTGTTAGAAGAGTAAGAACCTTTAACCTCCTAAAGAACCCTTGAAGACGGTTATTTTTTTCTGAGAATGTAGTATTTCAATATCTTTGTTTGTGATGTTTAGTTTCCCATATTTTTTATTTTGCGTAGTTCTCAAAATGCCTATTATCGCTAAGTGGATCTCTGGAACGTGGTAAAACAAGTAAAACAGTGAATCTTTGGTTTTAGCAGAAGGTCTGTGATGAGAGTGTCACTGAGAACACTTGTGTAAGTGTAAGTGTATACTGTACGGTGTTCTGTAGATAAAATGTAAATTATTATCACGTGTTCCTGAGAGGCGTCAGTGTTGGTGGCTATTCAGAATGCACTTATTTGTAGAATTAGGATTTCTAAAATATATTAAATAAACTATTAAATTCAGTTTTATTTGTATAGTGGTTTTAAGATTAGACAATATCATCAAGTAGTTTTACAGAAATCCAAGATGTAGATACAAAACTCCACAAACGCAGTAACCCGAGCTCCGGATCATCTGATCATGAATTCATTATGAATTGTTCGTGGACCATCCGACTCTTTTCCACTGTCTGACGTTGTACTGGAAGATGCACCACCTTACACATAACACAATCCTCTCCTCATTTTATACACTGAACACACATTTTAAACCCGACACATGTATCCCAACCATCAAACTGCAATCCAAACACATATTCAGAAACATTCCCAACGCTGAAGGTAGTGTACGCTCTCAGTCACAGAACCACAGAACCCAAGACGACTCGACACGCAGGAAGATATCACATGGAGCTGTTTTTATGCTGTGTTAAGAAACTCATTAAAATTTTGGATTAAAGTTTTGTTTTTAAATTGGAATCCAACTGTGTTTCACAGATAAATTCCCGACAGTGAAAACAGTTTCATTATCTCCATCAAGACATTAACTCTAGACGAGAGGAGGAATGGGAATTGGAGTTATGTTATGTGTAGTAAATAAGTTCATTAAGATTTTGGACTAATGTTTTCTTTCCAGAGGAGAACAACAAACTCATTAACTTAACTTTATTTATGCTAATGATGGCTTAGCCAGGTTTACAGGCACAGGAAATGCTCAGGAGGACAATAAATATTACTGTTAATGTAGGACTTTTTCTAAATACATCTATATTAATGTTTGAAATATTAGTTTTTTTTATGAAACCTGCAAACAGGAAACGTAATGTTGACCCTGCATGTGAGAACTAGCCTGCTTTAGGCTGAGCGTTTCTGTAGATTATAATAAAAGGTGCTAAAATTTATGTCTAAATGTCTCAGCGTAGATATGATGTTGTAATAGACACCATTTTCCCACTCAGCTATAAGGCGTGTAGTTTATATCACATCATAATGCATACACAAGAGTTTATTTTATCACACAGCTTATTATTGTTGTTGTTGTTCCTCTTTCGGCTGATCCTGTTAGGGGTCGCCACAGCAGATCATTGGTTTTTACACCAGATGCCTTTCCTCTTCTTATCCAGGCTTGGGACCGGAACTGGAAGTGGACTGTCTTGTGCAGTCTCAGTGCCTGGGTCCGGTTCCCCGGCCAGGAATCCAGCCCGGGCTGTGGCAGTGAGAGCGCCGAAACCTAACCACTAGTCCTCCGGGGACCTGCTATTGCACAGCTTACTGTAAAAAAATGAAAAACATTCCACACAGACGGATTTACAGAAACAACATTATAAAGAAATATAAGTTTATTAAACTTATTATAACAGCGCTGTTGAGTTCTGGATCCTGATTGGTCAGAAGGTGTTGATTACGACTCCACATAAATGGATTTTTAAAACATTGTTGATGCAGTGAACTTTTTTTTAAAGTAAGGAGATGTTTATTTAACGTGTACGGAAGGAGTCTCCAGTGTCAGCGCTTTGTAACAGTCAGAGGTAAAGCTGTAACTTTAGGTTTTCTGACATCTTCAGCACAGAGGAGTTTACGCTTTACGCACGACAAGCTGCATTTATTTTGTTATTAACTTCAAGAGAGAGAGAATAAAGAGAGGCTGGTGAGGGAACGAGTGTTTATAGCTGCTATAGCGTAAGTGACAACAGGAGCTAACTTGCTTCAAGGACATTAAATGTAAATATAAATGGATAAAAAGTATGGCACTTTCTTTCTTTAATAAATAAAACCACACCCACAGCGTTCATTCTATATATGTTAAAAACATCTCTGGAAGAAGAAGAAAACTTGCTGCCAGCAGAATACGTAAAATTAATGAAAATGTCTGGAAACATTTCAGCATGAAGTTTTGCAGCGTATTTAAAGCCGGTATATTTTACTGTTTCTGACAAAAAAGTAGATGCAAATTGAATACATAAAAAAATTCTACCATATTATTGTTAATGTGAAATTCATAGGGAAGTTACTGTAACATCAGGGGCTCGAGAGGTGGATGAGGTTCCACGTGCTGGAGGTTTTTACATAAAACTTTACACATAATGCAGGAAGCAACGTTGAAGAAAAGGGCAGAGAGTCAGAACGCAGGATATCCCCAATACAGCCGAGAGCACAACAATCGGAAGAGCAGTCAAAACATCGAAACGGGCAAGACTTCGCAAGCTGACCATCCCCCTGGTGCTCCTTATATAGTCCGTAAACAGGAAGTGAGAGGGGAACAGGAAGTGCTCGTGGAACAGGAAGTGGTACTCGGGAAGGACGGCCCTCTGCTGGTGCTGATGTTACAGTTACTATATGCAGTATTTAATAATGCAGTGTATGATGTCGGCATAAAACATTTAAATAAATAAATAAAAATCACAAAGCTGCATCAATCTTCTTCTGTAAAATAAGCAAAACTAAGACGTTTTTTGTTTGTTTTTGAAAGTAAAAGGTAATGTTATTAGACATTTAAAACTGTGGAATGTCAGTGGATGGTGAGGCTCAGTGCCTCAGACTGATCTGATTAGACTGATTTATCATCACTGTCTAATTACATCTTCATGTGGAACAATACTGATGAATACTGTCAGCATGGAGAAAGCAAACACACACACACACACACACACACACACACACACACACACACGCGGCTAATGGCTACAGCTCAGCTTTTCTACTCTTCATGCTCTGTGACATCAACAAGATTATTTTCTTGCAATTTCTTTTCACTTCATGCCACTGAAGTGAAGAACGCAGAGTTTTTGATGCTCTTTATCCGATTAACATCTAAAGATATTCAATTAAAACTTCAGAACAGAACAATTGCCGGGAGATTGCACAAAAATATTCTTCTTTATTTTAATTGCAGCTTTCAGACACAAAATGCACCTCACTGTGCTTCACAAGGCACTGAAAGTGAGCATAAATAATAATAATAATAGTTAAAATAATAATAATAATAATAAAAAGAAGTAGAAGAAGAAGAAGATAGGAATAATCATTAAGAAAAAAGATGAGAAAAAAAGAAACCTTGTAAAAAAAATGTTTTTTGTGAAATATTGTGGTTACATGCATGTTTTCTTTTCTTCGTTATAAAAAGAATTAAAATAAAGTTTAATTTTTAATCAAATTAAATTCAGTTACCAAAAATCTCATCCGATAATGAGTATTTATTTATTTATTTATTTATTTATTTATTTATTAAACTTAGCAGATTTCACACAGCACCAAATGCTCCACATGGAATTTTAAAAAACAATTTAAAAAAAGAATTCATTAATTTTTAATTAATTTTTAATTAAAAAAAAATTAATCATTAAGAAACAATATGAGAAAAAAATGCTTTAAAAAGGGAAAAACGAGAAATATTGTGGATAAAAGTATGTTTTCTTTAAAAAAAAAGCTATTTAAAAATAAAGTTTAATTAAGTTTTAATAAATAATAAAGTTTTGAATTTAATGAATTTAGTTTCATTCCACATAACAGATGGAGACAGATTGATCTGATTTGTTAAAAAGGTCTAAACCGAAGGATCGTCGTTTTGAAAGAAATTGTGACCTTGAGCACGAGAACCCATTCGAAGCCTGTTTACAAACAGCATGACCAGATTTTTTTATTTTTTAATCCGCAACATGTTTCCTCTTTCAGAAAAGGTCTTTGGAGCTAAAGGGCACTGGTTCTGCCCAGCGTCCGTCTGCAGCGTGGAGAACACGGACCTCCTGACATTTGAGAGAACCGCCCTGGAGCAGTGTGCGATCAGCACGGCCACTCCGGCTCTAAATGGCGAGCTGCCGCGCACTGCGTGGGAATGATCTGTGAAAGAAAAACAAGAATAAAAATGAAGACACACGTTCTAATCCACGTGTTCTGGTTCTGATTAAATGACTTCAGACAGCAGGTCGCAGAATCGGTGCATCGACAACAGACAATTCCCAGTTATTAGCATGAAGGATATGAAGTGACTGAAAGAAGCCCAGCGCTCATGTTCTCATTACGTTCTAATCACACCATCATGTCTTTTCATCGCTGAATCACACTGAACCGATTATTGTGCTGTTCGGTGACGGAAAGAAGAAAAGGACAAATGAAAAGATGCTATTTTTTTTTTTTTTTAGTCTCATCAACTTCTCAAGAGAGATAAAAGAAACTAAATAAAATGAGTTTTGGTTAAAAATTTACTCCACAATTCTGGATTGTCATTGGTCAGAAGGTGTTGATTATTTTTTTAAACCAGCGCAGCTGCAAATCACAGGTTTATATTAACGAGCTCATTCTAATACGTTATGGTTTCTATAGTAACAGCTCATTCACAGGGCCGTGTACAGCCGACGCGTCACTGATAGTGTTGTTGTTGTTGTTGTTGTTGTTCTTTCAGCTGATCCCGTTAGGGGTCGCCACAGAGGATCGCTGCTCCTCATATTTGATTTGGCACAGTTTTTACTCCGGATGTCTTTCCTGACGCAACCTTCCCCAAGTTTATCCGGGCTTGGGACTGGCACCGGGAGTGTTTATGTAACATTTAAGGAAGGAGTCTCCAATGTCAGCGCGTTGTAACAGTCAGAGGTAAAGCTGTACGTTTAGGTCTCCGTGAGTTTACGCTTCTTTGCGGTTTCTCAGTAACAATTATTTGTTTGTCTTATTAACGTGAAACAGAGAAAAAGAGAGAGTCTTTCATCAACACTCCCCAACATTAAATGTAACTAAAAATGGATAAAAGTATGACATGTGCTTTAATTTAAAAAAAATTGTAGTTGTTGGTAAATCGCTGTGGTGTAAGAGGAGTAAAACACTTGGGGACGTGCTGTTACAGGAAAATCATCAGCTTCTGCTTCATCACACCACCCTGTTGTTGATTATTTTCCTCCAACAGCATGTCCTCGAGCGTTTTATTCCTGTTCAGTTTGCCAACGATTACACGTTTTTATTTAGTAAAGAAAGACACATCATTGTTTTTAGTCCTTTACAGCTACGTTTTATGCCTGTGAACGACACACGATGTTTTATTCCTTAGTAGTTACAAAAAAAGGCATCACAATTTTTTTCTGAATGTTTCTGACTGCAACTTTAGATATTTATGTGAATTTAAATTCAGAGTAAAGTTATTACGTGTAACATTTAACAACAGTTACAGTGCGTGATGTTACATTCATGTGTAAGGGACTGGACAATTTAAATAAAGAATAAAAAAGACCTGCATGAATATTGATATTGAAAGAATGTTATATTGAAAAATAAGCGACATTTGTTTTAGTTTGTTTTTTCCTGCGCTGAATTCCTCAGGACCAGCGACTGTGTTTGCTCAGTGATGGAACGAGGAAAAGGCCGAGAAAGCAGGAGGGAGAACGATGAGCAGGAAGCGGCGGTGTGTAATTATCGCCGTGAAACCATTCTGCTGCTTTAAGAACGTCAGACGCATTTGATTAGATTTGATTGGAGTCCAGCGTGGATGTGATTGCGAGTGAAATAATGAGCATGAGCAGGTATCGGAGCTTTCTTTGCATGCTACATCACCTCAGGGTTTCATCCGTAGCTTCAAACGACATTTTCCACCAGAGAAGCTGAGACTAGATTACGTTTAGCTAAGTGTCGTCTCAGCTGATCGATGCTCGTGCACTTGAAATGTCACCGTGCCTCAGAGATCGAAGAGCAAAGTAATAAGACCGTGAAGACAACGACTCGATGGTTACATCACGCCTCAGAGACACCGATTACAGCCTGCTCCACTCACACTTATCACGCAGCAGAACATTCCAGTCCATTTTATCCACCACCACCATCATCATCATCATCATCATCATCATCATCATCGTCGAGGACTGAGTCTATTCCCCATTTCAGCCCTCATTTACGGTTCTTTAAAGCCCTAATAACACAGCAGTGTTTAGAAATGATACTGAAATCATGGTGTATTTCTTTTCTGATGAAGCATGAAGTTCTGATCAAGTTATTTATGCTACAAACAAATGAGCAGAACCCATAAGAGTGCTTCGGTTGTCCCTCTGGGGGAACCTGTTCATGTTGAACAGCAAAGTCTCAGCCTTTCTGAAAGGGTTACAAGCAGAACCCAATTTTTTAGAAGCTAAAAACCCTTAAAGAACCCATGAAGAACCCATGAAGAACCATTTTTCTAAGAGTGTGTGTATTAACTGTGTAAGTGTGTGGTACAAAAAAACACCACCAAATTATTGCTCATTATTTTTCTTCTTAAGATCTAGAACCTATCAGGGGG